AGGCTCACCAAAATTTAACAATTAGAAGATTGGAAAAACATTGCCTGGTCTGATGAGTCTCGATTTCTGCTGCGACATATAGATAGTAGGGTCAGAATTTGGCATCGACACCATGAAAGCATGGATCCATACTGCCTTGTGTCAGCGGTTCAGGTTGTTGGTGGTGTAATGATGTGGGGATATTTTCTTGGCACACTTTGGGCTCGTTAGTACCAAATGAGCATTGTGTCATCACCACATCCTACCTTAGTATTGATGCTGACCATGTCCATCCCTTTATGACCACAGTGTACCCATCTTCTGATGGCTACTTTCAGCAGGATAACACACTATGTCATAAAGGGTGAATCATCTCAGACTGGTTTCTTGAACATGACAATGAGTTCACTGTACTCAAATGGCCTCCACAGTCATGAGATGTCAATCCAATAGTGCACCTTTGGGATGTGGTGGAATGGGAGATTCACATCGTGGATACACAGCCGACAAATCTGCAGCAGTTGTGTGATGCTATCATGTCAATAAGGACCAAAATCTCTGAGGAATATTTCCAGCATCTTGTTGAATCTACGCCATGAAGGATTAAAGCAGTTCTGAAGGCAAAAGAGTCAATCCCCATAGACAAGAAAAAATATTGACTGGAGGTTGAAGGAAAATAGTGGAGTAAAAATACAGATACAACACTAAAAATGTACTCTAGAGAAATAAAAGTACACATTTTAAAGCTACTTAAGTATATTTTCTGAGAAAACCTACTCAATCACAGTAGTTTGAGTATTTGTAATTTGTAACTTTACACCACTGACAATGATTAATAGGATTTTTTTTTTAAATGCGCATAAAAAAATGGTCGTATAAGCATATCTGATAACAAAAATGGGTGCAGTGGGACGGCATTAATGGACAAACTAATGAACCGACCACATTGGAAAACATGTGAAATAAAATAACTAAAGTCTGTTAAAAACAAAGTCTCACTGGCCTGAACTGTCTTTTTATTTCTGGACCGTTTATCAGAAACTGACGAATTTGTTTTCTTTGACTCGCCGGATGGAAACCGTGCTTTAATTTCAAACGTTTTATGCCATACGGTTTTGCGCCTAAGTTTGATTTGCATCTTTAAATGTAAATATGGCCAGTTTGAAACGTTTAAGGCTCCCATAATGCTGTTGTCATGTCAGTCAACGCTTAAAATGTTTCCATATTTATTTGAAAACTTGCCTGTGTAAATGTTTCCTGAAAGAAGCGCAAAAGACTGGGTTGAGGATCCGAGCGGCCGTTGATTGTAATTGTGAACAGGTGCGGGTTATTAAAAGCCCAGTGAGAGTGATCTGTGTGTGGCTGGAAGGGAAGAACCCAGGGGACGCGTAACATCAGGTTACTTGAAAATAACAGGCAGGTGTGTGGAGGAAGCGCTGCGACTGAAGTCTGCGTGAAGGCAGAAGAGTTGGAAAACTTTTTTTTTTCTTTTTGTAGGGGCCAAGTTCTTAATTCTAGTTCTAAATTCTGATAATATTAAATAATACCCTGCTGAAAAATCCAGCTTAAACCAGCCTAGGCTGGTTGGCTGGTTTTAGCTGGTCAACCAGGCTGGTTTTAGAGGGGTTTTGGCCACTTCCAGGCTGGTTTTCAGCCATTTCCAGCCTGGTCTTAGCTGGTTAGGCTGGGAGATGACCAGCTAAAACCAGCTTGACCAGCCTAGCCAGGCTGGGAGCCCAGCCAAAACCAGCTATGTCCAGCTTAAACCAGGCTGGTCAAGCTGGTTTTAGCTGGATTTAGCTGGTCATTTTCCAGCCTGACCAGTTAAGACCAGGCTGAAAATGGCTGGAAACCAACCTGGAAATGGCCAAAACCCCTCTAAAACCAGCCTGGTCGACCAGCTAAAACGAGCCAACCAGCCTAGGCTGGTTTAAGCTTGATTTTTTAGCAGGGTAATCAAACCACACTTAAGTTGAACTTGAATTTACTTGGTGAATTTGAATGTTATTTTAATTTTTTTTAGTTTTTTTAGTTTTTTTTGTATTTTTAATTTTTAAAGTGTAGAACATTGAGTTCATTCATTCATTTTTTTTTTCTTCTCCTTTGTTCTTTATTCATTAGGGGTCGCCACAGCAGAATGAACTGCCAACTATTCTGGCATATAGCCTATGTTTTATGCAGCGGATGAACATTGAGTTAACTTGTATAATTGAGTATAAAGTATAAAAATCACCTGTAGAAACACACTCTTTTCTCTATATGCACCAAACACTTTCTTATAAACTCCATTTTTCGAAGACTCAATAAGGTAAAACAAATGTTTACTTGTAAATGCATCATAAATCATATTACACTATACTTTAACCTTACCCTGCTAAAAAATCCAGCTTTAACCAGCCTAGGCTGGTTGGCTGGTTTTAGCTGGTCGACCAGGCTGGTTTTAGAGGGGTTTTGGCCACTTCCAGGCTGGTTTCCAGCCATTTCCAGCCTGGTCTTAGCTGGTCAGGCTGGAAAATGACCAGCTAAATCTAGCTAAAACCAGCTTGACCAGCCTGGTTTAAACTGGACATAGCTGGTTTTGGCTGGGCTCCCAGCCTGGCTAGGCTGGTCAAGCTGGTTTTAGCTGGTCATCTCCCAGCCTAACATGCTAAGACCAGGCTGGAAATGGCTGGAAACCAGCCTGGAAGTGGCTAAAACCCCTCTAAAACCAGCCAACCAGCCTAGGCTGGTTTAAGCTGGATTTTTCAGCAGGGTAAATACATCTCTTGCGCAATATCATGCGCAACATTATGTAAAGCACTTGTATATTTTGTCCTATCTGATGTGTATAGTTAACTACTTATATGTATAGTTACATACCACTTTATGTTAGCTTTGTAAAGGTTCATTTATGTTTATGTAGTACTGTGAGGACATTTCTTGTTAACTAAACATATTGCTTGAAGTTCAATTTACTTAAAAAGGTAAATGCAAAACAAAAAATGGCACTTACGTATTTTAAGTAACCAGTTTTTCGCAATTTTTGAGAGGAAAAATACATTTTCAAGTTTCGTGGTCAAAATAGCATTTTGCCTTTGTGATTTTTCAAAATTGGTATATTATTATTGTATTATTCTGATTTAGTTATTTTAATTCAACCAGCAATGTTTTTGTTTTTTACCAGAAATGACACAGGTTCTCCTAAAAGATGGTAAGATGATGTACAAAAGGCATCATTGCGGGAAAAAAAAACATTTCTCAGCTTTTATTTACATTTGAATAAAAGATTTTAAGTCAGAATTTGCCAGAGTATCAATAAAATCTGGCTTGACTCTATGTGTATATATATATTTATACAACAGTTCTGTCTGGTTCTTTAATCTAATTGGCCTAAAGCTGTTTGATATTCAGCCAGTAACAGCACTCGTACCGCCTCTTCACCCTTGTGTATTACTTCGCCCATATACAGCAACAAGCAGAAAACACTCTACAGTTTGACAAATATTCCTGCTGTTGGGCAACATGATGTACTTTTGAAGCTTTTTTTAGTCGAGAATGTAGTTTAGATTGCAACTATGTCTGCGGCCATACTGAGCAGACCAAATACGATTGCCGTTGTCTATCCACAAGATGGCGACAGGAAATAATAAGCCCTTAGAACAGGGGTGTCAAACTCAATTCCTGGAGGGCCGAAGCCCTGCACAGTTTAGTTCCAACCCTACTCCAACACACTTACCTGTAGGTTTCAAACAAGCCTGAAGGACTCAATTAGTTTGATCAGGTGTGTTTAATTAGGGTTGGAACTAAACTGTGCAGAGCTGCGGCCCTTTTTTAACTGAGTTTGACACCTGTGCCTTAGAAGATTAAAGCAGCATAATTTCAAATCATTATTTAACTGGTAAGTGATATACTAAGTGCTATTTTGGGGTTAATTATTGTGATGTTCCAATTGCAACAGAGAAATACAGTAGACTGTAATACTGTGAGGAGATATCTCTGTAGAATGATGGCAATTCACGTCACGTTCAGCCTTATAATCTTAAAATGTGAGCAAAATCAGCTGTTTTGTCATCACTTTAGATATTACGCTAGAGAATCATTCAAACACTGGCTCTAAAGTGACATTGGTGAATTAGTAACGGCTTCTGTTGTTTTGATGTCAGTTGCAGATGTGAAGGAATGGTGCAAGAAAGTAGTTTTTCTTACGAAAGGGTTTTTAGACTCAGTGTTTGATTTTCTTTTTATAAACTTGATTATGCCATCGAATAGTTGTATAAATGCAATATCAAACGAGTAATAGAGCAATATAGCTGTATCAGCACTGGTGGGACACTGCTAATTGTGTGATATTGTTCATTTATATGTACAGTTGAAGTCAGAATTAATAGCCCCCGATTTATTTTTCCCCCAATTTCTATTTCATAGAGAGCAGATTTTTTTTCAACACATTTCGAAACATAATAGTTTTAATAACTAATTTCTAATAAGATTTATTTTATCTTTGCCATGATGACAGTAAATAATATTTGACTATATATTTTTCAAGACACTTCTATACAGCTTAAAGTGACATTTAAAAGCTAAACTAGGTTAATTAGGTTTACTAGGCAGATATTGTATAACGATGGTTTGTTCTGTAGACTATAGAGAAAAAAAAATAGCTTAAAGGGGCTAAGAAATTTGATCTTTAAATGGCTGTTAAAAAATTTAAAACAGCTTTTATTCCAGCCGAAATAAAACAAATAAGACTTTCTGCAGAAGAAAAAATATTATCAGACACACTGTGAAAATTTCCTTGCTCTGTTAAACATAGTTTGGGAAATATTTTTAAAAGAAAAATAAATTCAAAGGGGGGATATTAATTCTGACTTCAACTGTATTTATCTATTTTTTTATTTAGTTTTTTTATTATTATTTAAAACAGCTCCATTTTGTAATTTCAATAATATAAAATGTCTTGTTTCGCACAATTAAAATATCAGCTGATTTGTGCTTTCTATGGACATTTTTTAAACAAAGAAAACTCCCTTTACACCCCACCTCAGATAAAATAAATATCATGGCAAGTAATAGTTTAATAATTGCAGAATTGAAAGCAAGCTTAATGTGCCAAATGGCTCACAAAATGGAGCAGAATTTAAAAATTTTAAATGTATACATTGTGTCAAAAAGTCTGAAAGCGTAACAGGATCTCAATAATAACAAATACAGTAGAGTCATCTGATAAAGTCTGTGAATGTAGTATTTATAGATTCAAACAGACTGATAAACCTTTGCATTTACAAACAGTTTATACAAACATCATTACTGAGATATTCACATTTTAGTACCTGAGCAATTGTAAGCAATTGAAGGTATGCTCATGGTGTTTTGGCAGGATTGCTGTCAGGGACTGTACCCGATTGAGGAAATCATTGGCATTTGAAGAACTGTGCTTTCACTGTGAGCCAGTTTTAAATGATGAGTATCAGTGGAGAATCTGTGGCTGATGGGGAAGCTGTAGCTATGTGGTGACATGAAGGCTGATGCCGTATTTTCATTTTCAGAGGCCCATCCAGATAAAGTGTTGTGAATAGGATGCATGGAAGTACCGGCTGAATTATAGAGCCAGTGGCTCCTACATCTGTCTCCTTTCTTAACCGGGAGGGAAGTCAGCAAGGGAAGATCTAACATGGGTCGCAACCCAGTGTAATTATTGAGGCAAATGCTGCAGTAGGCTCTGTATGCGAGGAAACAGCTTGAAGGGAGTATCTTGCAGCACTGAGGGCTTGAGAAGGCAGTGGGATGGACTGCTTGAGCTGAGGACACTGATGGGGTGATACCACTCGCTGAAGATCCAAAACATCTGCCTGCATGGAAACAGAAAGACTCTAGATCAACAATATCCTTCATCGCTGAGGGAGAAAGAATTATATGTACATTTAATTCAACCTTGTAGCTCCATTGCTAAAGATTTGAAGCCATTAAAGGGACTGTGCCATGAGTATGACTCTAGAATCCCATCCAACACAGCCCTACAATACATTGTAGAAAAAGAGGGTGAGATTTCAGAAATCTGGTTACCATTTTTTAAAAATTATCTTTTAAAGTGTTGTATTTTTAATACGCAAAATCAATATTTTTTGTATGTTAAATAACATGCATTACCCGTTACGTTCCCTGAAGCCTTTGGCAAATGGATTCCTGTCGATCTTCAGTTTTGTTATCTTGAAGACGAAAAAACACAATCAGTTAAACAGTTTGGCAAGAGAAAAATGGAATATTATCAGTCATTCATTCATTTTTCTTCGGCTTAGTGCCTTTTTTGTCAAATGCTGCCACAGCGGAATGAACCACCAACAATCCCAGCATATGTTTTATGCTGCGGATGCCGGAAAACTGGATACTGGAAAACACCCATACATGCTCACACACACACTCATACGTGAAGTTTATTTATAAACAAATTTCGAGAGGATCACGTGCTTATGATTGTTCACAGCTGTTCCAACTTTAGCTAATGACTGATTATCCTATCAGACGATCCTTAACTCACTATAAATAACCAGACTTTTCTCATCTCAATATCTTCGTCTTGAAGAAACCCCCCCACTCAACCCTACTTTCCCTCCTTTCAAACGGGCGTCACGGTGGCCAGCGATTAGCGCTGTTGCCTCACAGCAAGAATGCCCCTGGTTTAATTCCTTTCCAAACCAGACGGCATTTCTGTGCGGAGTTTGCTCGTTCTCTCCGTGGTCGCGTGGGTTTTACCTGGTCCTCCGGTTTCCTCCCACAGTTCAAAAACAAGCACCCTAAACAATTAATCCAAAATATTTTAGCTAAACTCTGAGTACACCTTCTCATCATCCATATCTGACAGTTAGCTACAACAAGCAAGAGGGGGAGTCATCGAGATCTACCTGAGCTCAAACTCCCCTCTCGCCTTGCAACGGGAGGGAGCCCTGGGCTCGAGGATCTTATAAGCTCAGGGCTCTCTCCCAGGACAGCACGCCAAACTAGCTTTATTATCAATCATCAGCTAAGTGTGAACTCTTGAAACTACAGACAATTTTGCTTTCCCAATTCACCTATACCGCATGTCTTTAGACTGCGGGGGAAACCAGAACACCCGGAGGACACCACACGAACATGGGGACAACATGCAAACTCCACACAGAAATGTCAACTGGCACAGCCGAGGCTTAAACCAGGGACCTTCAGTGATTAGCGAAGGCTCTGAATATAAATATTATTAATGCTTTATTATTTTTGTTATTAAATTTGATAGAAAAACTTATTTAGCCTTTTTTAAAGACCTGTTATGTTACACTGCTGCAAGGGTATGGGGATTTGTTTTGTAAAATTATATACATAAACATTTTCCATTGAAATATTCAATAAAATTAAAACAGATTTATGAAAATACAGGAATTAAAAGCTTAAATATATTATTATTATGTGTTAAAGGGCTAGTTCCGCTAAAATGAACATTGTCTTACTATTTACTCACACTCAAGTGGTTTTAAATCTTTATGAGTTTCTTTGTTTAGCTGATCCTAAATATATATTTTAAAGAAAGCTTAAAACCTGTAACCATCGACTTACCATTGGCATTGTAGTGAAAACAAATACTATTAAAGTGGTTACAGGTTTCCAGCTTTCTTCAAAATGTCTTCTTTTGTGTTCAACACAAGAAAGAAAGTAAAACACATTTGGAATGTATAAAGGGTGAGTAAATGATTCATTTTAGGTAACCTATCACTTGATAACATAATAAAAACTTTTATATGAAAAATAAAACTGTTTATTGCACAGGTCTGTTGGTGGTTGAATACTCCAGACACAATTTATCCCATAATATATGTTTTTAAGAATTAGGAGTTTAGTTCAAATAAACAATAATTAAAACACATGCATATAAAAAATTAAAGCATTTATAATAAAGCGACTTTGGACCACAAAACCAGCTTTAAGTCATTTTTGTGATTTTGACATTTATACGGTGCATCCGGAAAGTATTCATAGCGCTTCACTTTTTCCACATTTGTTTATGTTACAGCCTTATTCCAAAATGGATTAAATTCATTTATTTCCCCAAAATTCAACACACAACACCCCATAATGACAATGTGAAAAAAAATTAAATGTAAATTTATTACAAATTAAAAATCTGAAATCACATGTGCATCAGTATTTACAGCCTTTTCTTAATACTTTGTTGATGCACCTTTAGCAGCAATTACAGCCTCAAGTCTTTTTGAATATGATGCCACAAGCTTGGCACACCTGTTTTTGAGAATTTTTTTCCATTCCTATTTGCAGTGCCTCTCAAGCTCTGTCATTTTGTATGGGAAGCGATGGTGTACAGCCATTTTCATATCTCACCAAAGATGTTCAATAGGATTTAGGTCTGGGCTCTGGCTGGGCCACTCAAGGACTTTCACTGAGTTGTTGTGAAGTTGATCCATTGATATTTGGGATTTTGGGACCACTAATCCTGCTGGAAAATGAACTGTCACCCCAGTCTGCGGTCATGAGCTCTCTGAAGCAGGTTTTCATTCAGGATGTCTCTTTACATTGCTGCATTCATGTTTCCCTCTATCCTGACTAATCTTCCAGTTCCTAATGCTGAAAAACCTCCCCACAGCATGATGCTGCCACCACCATGCTTCACTGTAGGGATGGTATTAGCCTGGTGATGAGCGGTGCCTGGGTTACTCCAAAGAGTAAATTTTAGTTTCATCAGACCAGAGAATTTTGTTTCTTATGGTCTGAGAGTCCTTCAGATGCCTTTTGGCAGATTCCAGGTGGTGAGTTGCTTCCGTCTGGCCACTCTACCATACAGGCCTGATTGGTGGATTCCTGCACAGATGGTTGTCGTTCTGTAAGGTTTTCCTCCCTTCACAGAAGAACGCTGGAGCTCAGACAGAGTGACCATCGGGTTATTGATCACCTCCCTGACTAAGGTCTCTCTCCCCTATCACTCATCTTAGATGGCTGGCCAGCTCTAGGAAGAGTCCTGATTGAGGCCACTGTGCTCATTGGAACTTTCAGAGCAGCAGAAATTTATCTGTAACCTTTCCCAGCCTTGTGACTTGAGACAATCCTATATCGGAGGTCTACAGTCAATTCCTTTGTCTTCATGCTTGGTTTGTGCTTTGACATGCACTGTCAACCCTGGGACCTTGTATAGACAGGTGTATGCCTTTTCAAATCATGTCTAATCAACTGAATTTACCACAAGTGAACTCCAATTAAGCTGCTGAAACATCTCAAGAATGATCAATGGAAACAGAATGTACCTGAGCTCAATTTAGAGCTTCACGGCAGAGGAAGTGAATACTCATGTACATGTGATTTTCCAGGTTTTTTATTTTTATTAAATTTGCAACAATTTAAAAAAAATCTTTTTCACATTGTCATTATGGAGTTTTGTGTGTAGAACTTTGAGGAAATAAATTAATTTAATCCATTTTGTAATAAGACTGTAACATAAAAAATGTGGAAAAAGATGCACTGTACTTTGTAGAAATGCTCTAATGCATTTGTTATTTTAAAGTATTTTTATAATATTGCCTGTTTAATGAAAAAATAAAATAAACATTGCAGTTTTTAGCGAATCTTTATTTTGTTTCTTTTAATATTCATTTTCTTTTGGGACAACAGGGAACAACAAAAAATTAGATAAAAATAATTTAAATAAAGATGCTTTCAAGAGTTCACACTTAGCTAATGATTTAGTATAAAGCGAGTTTGGCATGCTGTCCCAGGAGAGAGCCTCATAAAATCCTCAAGCCTGGGGCTCCCACCCGTTTGCAGGGTGACACCTTTATTTAGAGCAGATGACAGATTATAAATGGTTATATAAAGCCGCTGGTTCAGAGCTAGACTGTGGTGCCAATTTAGATTGATCAATTCACTTATGACACATATCTTTAGACTGTGAAGGGAACCGGAAAACCTGGGGGAAACCGACATGGGCACAGGGGGAACATGTAAACGCCACACAGAAACAACAACTGGCCTGTTAAGGACTTGAACTAGTGACATTCTTGCTGTGAGGCAACAGTGCTAACCACTGGGCCACCGTGCCACCCTATAAAGGGAAAGGTACAGGAGTAGGGGTGGAAGGGGGATTCTTCAAGGTGAAAATAACTAAGGTAAGAATTTCTGGTTATTTATAGTGAGTTACAAATCATCTGTTTGGTGAATTACGCGCTATCTAATGCAGGACCAGCTGTGATCAATCATAACCATGTGCTCCTCTCGAGAATTAATTTATGAATAAACATCACTTAGCAATGTAAATTTACCTATATACATTTTTAAATTGGGTGAAACCAAAACAAGCATATTAAAACAATTCTAAATATTAATTTGGGCCAATGACATGATTGGGCGGACTTGATGGTTTTTCAATTGGCTCAACACATTATTTCCAGCCTGATCTCATGAGGAAACATAAGTATTTTACGTTTTGTCAGTTTAGTGAGTAATTCATGTGAATTCGTACAAGTTCAGTCGTGCGAAAATGTACAATTTTAAAAAGGAGGCGTGGCACCCAACCCCACCCCTAACCATCATTGGGTGATGAGCAAATCGTACTAAATTGTACGAATTAGATCATACGAATTCATACGAATTAGCCACTAAATTAAAAAGTTAAGAATTGCTGTGAGATTGCATTGTTATTTCTCATTGAGCCAAAGTTAACAGGCAGTTGCTACAACTGAGAAACAAATCAGTTTTCCTCATTTATTTCATATGTCAGATTTTTTTTACAGTGTGATTATGAACTTAAAAGTAAAGTAAAATACTATTAATGCTGTTAATGGATCCTCATGAAAATCAACCTCACAATGAAAGTTTTCCTGCTGGTTTTAAAATATTCCATGAATTGGCAAGTTACCTGTTGGTTTTGGTACGCTGTGACAGTGGTGAACTGAGTCTCGGGGAAGGAGAAGGTGAACACACCATCCGCTGGGAGTGACAAAAGCCTCTTCGACAGGCATTCAGGAGGACAATGCAGAATAACATGGATCCGTGGCCTGTACTTGTGCATGGACTTCAGGATTATCTGAATATAATTGACACATTTAGCATATGGGCAAAGAGGTGTGTTAATTGCATAATATCATAGACATACTGAAAAAGGGCACTCACATGGCCTCTGTCATCCAGCTCATTGTTGGTGAGTTTGACGCGATCGAAGCTGATGACCTGCCTCATCCAGTTCTCTCCTGAACACGGTGAGTCCGGGTGGACATATAGATGAGGGGGGATACAGGAGTGATCTGTGTTTCCAGCAATCACCCACTGAGAGCTGTGATAAACATACCTAACACAGAAGAAAAGTAAAAGTACTTTATGATTTAGGATTTACTTTTATCCCTTCAATATATTTAATAATTTGAAGCCAGGGTAAACTATACACTGTAAAAAATACTGGATTACACACACTTTATTGATGTTGTCGTTAACAAATTTTAAGAGATTGAACATAAAACTATTAAATATAAAATAAAAATCTCAGTTTCAGCTCATTTTAAATACGCAGTTCAAAAAAGGAGCAAAAATTGTTTTGTTTTTTTACTTTTTTTTTTTGAGTTTCCAAAAGAAAATACATCTATAACTTACATAATCTCTCACACAGAAAGAGACTTACAGATCTAGATCTAGCATATGCTTTGTATTTTCTTCCCTTTAACAACAACAACAACAACTAAAACAGTAAAACATGGGGTGCTACAAATCCTTTAGAAGGTTGCCTTTAAAGAAGAAAATATATATGTATTGATACATAGTATTAAATTTAAAAGTTACAATTTAAGAAAAATCTGGGCATATTAGTGAAATATACTCAATCCATTTACTCCAAGTTAGAAAAAAGTATTCAGTCTGTGTTCTTAATGAAATAGATGACACACAGTTTAAGTCAGAATTATTAGCCCCCCTTTGATTTTAATTTTTTATTTTTTTTTAAATACAGTACATATTTCCCAAATTATGTTTAAGAGAGTAATGACATTTTCACAGTATGTCTGATAATATTTTTTTCTTCTGGAGAAAGTCTTATTAGTTTTATTTTGGCTGTAATAAAAGAAGTTTTAAATTTTTCAAACACCGTTTTAAGGTCAAAATGATTAGCCCCTTTAAGCTATATTTTCAAACATAACGTATTGTCATCATGGCAAGGATAAAATAAATCAGTTATTAGAAATGAGTTATCAAAACTATTATGTTTAGAAATGCGTTGAAAAAAATCTCTTCATTAAACATAAATAGGGGGAAAAAATAAACAGGGGGGTTAATAATTCAGGGGCCTAATAATTCTGACTTCAACTGTATATAGAGTGCACTGTATCAATCCATTCTTCAAATGTAGCTGACTGATTTTCAATCTTTTTTATTTCTTTTTTACTAGCTGCTAGAAGAATGAATAACATTTAAAATTTATTGTTTTTATTAATCCATCCAACTAAATTTATATTACCTTTTGACAACTTTTGATGTTAAGAAATTAAACAAAGTGACTTTTATTGTCACTTTAAGTCATAATTATGTATTTTCATGTAAATTTGTGTAAATTGTGGTACAAATATCAGGAATTGACCTTTTATTTTTAATTATATAAGTAGACTGTCTGCCTAATATCTGCTAAGGGTTTATTTTGATGGTGCTCTAACAGATATTATTCAACTGACTATAAATAACCTAACAATTTATTAATACTCTTGCAAAACAACAGTTGCAAAGTTGTTTAGTTACTTAGCTACAAATATCAAACATGGAAAAAGTAAAACTGAACCAAATGCAATCAGTTGTCTTTCTACATATGGGTGTTTAAAGCATTTATTTGCTATAATATTACATGTTTTGGAAATATATCAATATTTAACCATTTGTGCCAACCTCATTTATACTTTGAAAATCTGTCTGCAGTCTACCTGTATTTCTTTGAGTCCATAGGCATGATGTCCATAGCAATGGAGTATTGCTGTAAAGGGTCCAGATTGTGCACCTTGACTCGAATAGAGGGGAACATTCTCCTGAGGAGATGATAAACAAATTTTCATCACTGACACTGAGACCTCTGACTATAGTGTAATTCAGATTCTGAACAGGTTGATGCTAATCGCCACTAGAGTTGACATATTTGAACATAAAAAGTTAATTATATATTTTTTTGCTTCAGACTATAAAGCTAACAGCTAGAAATAAACAGACATGTTAAAATCTGTGAAACTGGTCATCATACAATTGCTTTTAGTATAAAAGGAAATCACTGTATCATGCATTAAATGAGAAAGAAATAAAAGCATCAAGTATTCTAGAAAAATCCAAATGCACAAAAATATGTACTTTTTTGAGATACAAATGATTTATTGAGCAGGTCTGTACTTGAGTGTGTCATTTGGAGTATAACACCCTTTTTTTCTCTGTATTTCAGTTTATTATACCATTTTATTTGGTGAATTCCAACTTAATTATACAACTAAACTTTTTTTAAATGGGTAAAGTTACATTTAAAAGTAATGTATTGCAATCTTAAATAGATAGTTCGGCCCCCCAAAAAATTACATTTACTTATATACTTACCCTTAACTTGTTCCAAACCTGTTTGAGTTTATTTATTCTGTTAAAAATATAAGAAGGTCATTTTAAAACAAGCTGGAAACCTGTAACCATTAATAGTAGGAAATACAAATATGGTGAAAGTCAATGGTTACAGGTTTTCAGTATTCTTCAAAATATCCTTCTTTATGTTAAACAGAAAGAAACGCCAACGGGTTCGAAACAAGCGAAAGGGAGCAAATTATGACAGAACTTTCAGTTTTGGGTGAACTTTCCCTTTATTTTAATCTAAAGACATAGCATAATACATAATTTACATTACTTTCCCTAAAATGTAACAAATTTAGTTACTTTTTTTAAAATGTCTTAGATTGCAGTACAAGTTACTTTTAAAATATGACTACATTGAAGCAACCCTATAAGATTACCACAGGTATACTCTAATTTCAACTTTACCTAACACCCAACTGTACCTTAAAGTCAATGTACAGTAGTAGGAGACTGTGATGAAACACCAAACATGATATCAAAAGCACGTCACATTTTCAGCGGTAATTTAATGATTTGTTGCAAGGTTAAATTTGATTGTAAACTGTAACAGGCTTAAATTGCCATCTTACCTGCCAACTTTGGTGATAATCATCTCTGTGCCGATTTCGTAAAATCTCTTCCACAGGTCTGACCCTTGAAGATCCACACGAACTTTCCTCACAGCTTCAGCTCCTGCAGGTTTTCTTTCCTTCGCGCTTTTTCTCAGATCTTCACAAGCCATCGAAAAAAATACACAAATGGAAATGCAGAGTTCAATATAAACGATTTAACTGCCGAATATTGCTGTAATGTTTCCCCCTCAAACTATTATGCTGCACTAACCCTGTGCGTCAAATAAAGTTCTTCTCAGTGTGTCACTGTCATACTCCAAGACATCCTGCAAACTCTCATTCTCCCTATTTTCCACCTTCATCTTCTTGCAGCGGTTTCCTGAAGTATGATCCACTTGTCGCGTGATGGACTGCATTCTGACAGGAGTCTTAAAGTTTCCTCAAAGTTCTGATCGACATATCACATCTTTCTCTGCTCTCTTTACATTTTACCTGTTCATTTCTCATCCTCTTAAAGTCTAAACAGTCGAACTCATCGCTTTGCAAATGGGAAGAAGATGCTCTTGCTCTAAACCTTACAGGCACCAGTAAAATCTCAGAGGAGGACTGAAGGGAAATAAATACCAGTCCCAGGAGAACAATAAGAAACAGGTAACTTTTTTTTAACTTAAAGGGATAGTTCACGTATATAAAACTTTACTCACTTAATACTCTTCCTCAAGTAGTTTCAAACCTTTTTCAAACGTGTTTTTCTTCTGTTGAACACCAAATAAGATATTTTGAATAGTGTTAAAACCCTGTAACCATGCATTTCTATAGTAAAAAATATATTTATACTAAGGAAGTCAATGGTTACAGATTTCCAACATTTTCCAAAAGCACTTATTTTATGTTTATCAGGGGAACAAAAGAAACCCAAACAATTTTGTGACAACTCACTGGAAAAAAAAATTGGATAAACATTTTTTAAAGGTAAGTGGTTGTAAACAATTTACATGGACTGAATTTAAACAAATTAAATTTAGGATTGTACAACTTAACGTTCATTTTTAGTTAATTTTAAATAAGTGGTTTGGAGGCAAACATCATTTTTTGAGGGTACTCAACACTGTAAAAATGCTAGATTACAAACAATTAATTCATGTTGTCCCAAATCGATTATCAAATTCAAGTCGATTGAACATCGAACAATTATGTTTTCCCTCCCAAAAATCAAGAATTGTGTTGCTTCAGCTTATTGTATACAAGTAGTTTGAACAAGCAGCAAACAATATTTTTGAGTATAAAATCTGAAAAGCAAAAACAAGTTGTTCGTAAAACAACAATTCCACTTTGAAGCATCAGTTTAACGTTACGACAAATAAAAGTATAAAATTAATTATATTTTTCATATGTCAGCAGTTACTAAACCACAACTGTTTAACAATAAAAATCAACCACAACATTTAGTAATGAAACTTTTCATCAATTTGAATTGACTGTTTTCTGAGATTTATTTAATTCCTCATTGAATAATCACGAGACAATAAATATTTACCATTTTTTACATGCGCATGAACATCCGAATGAATAAGACTTGTTACAAAAGTTATTACAAAAAGTAGGTATTAATCACATTATTAAATACAACATTAACATTTTATTTAAATCACTTTTCTAGTAACCTTTTATCTAAGTAATTTCATTACTCAGTAAGGAATTTAATTGTTTGACTCAATACTACTTAAAATCTCCATAAATCTTAAAGCATAAAGAGATTAAACTCTTTAATTTTTATATTTCACTTGAGTCAAACAGGCCATTTTGGCTTTATTTTATAAACGTAATACTCAAATGGATCTCTCACCCAAATCTGACATTTGTGTCACCATTTACTCTGCTTTAGCTCTACTTGTTCTAAACCTGTTTGGCTTTCTTAATTCTGTTGAACAAAAAAGAAGATACTTTGAAAAAAGCTGGAATCCTGTAACCATTGACATTCATTGTATTTGTTTTAAGGAAGTCAATTGCTACACATTTTCAGTTTTCTTCAGAATATCTTTTGTGTTCAACAGAATAAAGAAACTCATAAAGATTTGGAACCACCTAAGTAAATATTCATTCATGGATGAACCATTGCTTTGAAAATGTTAAACATCAAAACACGAAACGTAATGACATCATATTTTATACATAGCGTGCTAAGCATGTGCAATGTAACCTTCTTTAGTTTAAAAATAAAAGCTTTATGCTAAATATATTTGTGTAACAAACAAATACAGCTACTGGGCTTCTCTGAACTGATTTTTACATAATTTATTCAAAGCATTTAAGGCAAGTAAAATATAAATAAGAAACTATATAATTAAATCTTGAATTTTTTAATGAAAATAAATGAAAAGTCATTCTTCCTGATGGGTTGCAGCTGGCATCCGCTGAGTAGAAAATATGCTGGATAAGTTGGCGGTTCATTCCGCTGTGGCGACCACTAAATAATAGAGGGAGTAAGCCGAAAATAAAATAAATAAATGAATGAAAAGTAATCCCATGCTATACTTTTAGGCAGGTAAGTCATTTAAAATCGCCTCACAGTCAATGTTTTATCCTGCTACGGTCCTCTAGGGGGCAAGGAATGGATAATATTCAAAACCTAAAATGAACAACATTAATGCGCTGTCTTGGCAAATGTATAATAACTGACTATTTTAATGTCTTGTTCTCATATGTTGCTCTCTGTTCAAATAAATAACTAGATAAATAAACAGTCAGAAACTAATCTAAATTATTGCGACAATGTTTTTGTAGCCTACATTTAAGTTGTTAAGTTTATTGAAAACAGTTTATTCATTTTCTTCACTAAAGTTGTTGCATAAATTGTAATGTGTTTTTTATTTATTTGTTTAGCAAATTATCTAACAGTTTTAATTTAATTAAATTAGTTTACTTCACTCAAATATAAGTTAAAGTTCATTGTAGTTAATAGGGACACTGTAAAAAAAAAAGCCCTGCCTTACAGTTTTTAGTTGAATAAAATGAACTTTTTCAATCATCTAAACATAAAACAGTCAATAAAACATTGTAGTAGTAAACCTATTTGACTTTTAGCAGTGTAGGTATGTCTGTGAACTCAAAGCTTGTGTTAATGTACTTAAACCTATTGAGTTGTGGCAGGTACAATGTAAAAAAAAAAAAAAAAAAAAAAATCAAGGCAACAAAAGTTGACTCAACTTTCAACCCATGCACTTGAAAAATGTCCTGAAGTTTGTCGGCTTAAAATGTTAAGCTGAGTCAACTTTTTTTCTTTTTTTTTTACAGTGTAGTGCTGTAGAATGAGAATAAACAATGAAGTAAGTGTTGTTTGTTGTGCTTCGGAACCAGAACAATATATTGTGAAAAATGAGTTTAGTTTTTTGTTATATTGTAATCTAGAGATGTTAATGTCATGTTGATGTTTTAGGGTTACCATTGCTGAGTCTGTGGGTTGAGGATTAGCTGAAAATTGAAATTAGCATTCAGCCATAATACTTAGGGTTAATATGATTTTAATGCTATACACTTAAATGGGTACATTTATTTATGTACATAAAAATTATAACATGTAAACTGTAACTTACAACCCACATTTTGGGTAAAATCTAAACCCCATCTTTGGGAATTAAAAAAGCACTCTGTATTAGACTACCTGACTTATCATGGCAATACATGTTACTGATCTTTTGTTTTAATGAATTCTTTTCTGAGTTGTCATGCATGTAACACTTTATAATAAACATCCTTTAATGAATATTAGTTAATTTAATAACACAATAAACAAACAATGAAAAATACATTTATTACAGAATTTATTCCTTTTTTATTATATTCATCTATAAGTCATTCATTGTCAGTGCATTTACTAATGTTAAAAAAACACATTATTAAACTAAAATAAATAGATTTTATTTAATTAAGTATAATTCAGTTTAAAAATGCTGTTTGCTGTTCAACCTTAAATACATTAACTAACATTAGCTAATGGAGCCTTATTGTGAAGTGTGATCAGTGTTCAGCCTAATTTTCTGAATCATTCTCGAGAAATGGTTAAAGACTTCTTTTTGCTCAAAAACTTGACCTTTTGCTACTAACGCTCTGTATTATATTTTATCTAAAAAAGTGCTCTGGTCCTATAAATACATTCATGTGTTTGACCTTCTGAAAACAACAATTCCTTTTCTGTTTTTTATCCACTTCATTTTTGACCTTATGCCACTTATATAACCTTACATAACCAATAACACTTTCCACTGTATGTTCTGTCTGCAGCACTCGACGCTTTGGATCTCTTTTATTAATTCCAAGTTGCTAAAAAAAGGCCAAGAGCTTGACCATATTTTACTCCAAATTGGCTTGAAACTATACCTGAGTGTAAGTTTAGAGTGTAAGTAAGCCATCTAGTGGTGAAAATATAGAGCTACTGATAAAAAAATTATATATATATATATATATATATATATATATATATATATATATATATATATATATATATATATATATAATTAAAATTTCTTATTTTCCCTAAATTTGCACATGCAAAAACCTGTGCAAATCGGCAAATTAAAGGCAAAAAGTGCCATCTGAATTTTTCTTCTAAAGTTAGCTATTTTCACAGTCTTCGTATCACTTTAAAGGAAATAAAAAATAATGCAGTCTGATTACTAAACCTACAAACAGGAGTCTGATATCACACACACAAAAAAAAACATTTTATATGGCACTTAAAGGTTTTGGCATCAGAACACTTGCTTTTTTCGTTCATGCGTGAATTGCATGTTGCCTGTCTCAATGCCAGTACACCTATAGGGTATAGTTGAATCTGTTTTTTCCCCTTATTGCTCGACCCCTCAGTTAAACAAGTTTGCTTTATCTCAGCAAGTATGTGTGCTGTTGTGATGGGCGCTACATTTCCAAACATCACACAGCACTGCTTAATTCCTATCCTTAATGTGAGTTAATAATTCTATGACCCAGTCCCAGTGGCGGTTCTAGTTTAAATTCTAGTTTAAACCACCCTAAACATACCCCCTCCCCATCCACCCAAAAATAAAGACACTATGTGGTTGACTTTATATTTTAAATATTTAAATATATATATACCCAGATAGAGATTCAGTCATCAGTCAGAGTTTAAAACATTTATTTAGTATATTGTACCATATACAGTTTTTACTCATTTATTGATTTGCAGTATACAAATACAAAAGTCTGCACTTAAAAAACAAAATCATTGTCCACCATTGTCACATTCCTTTCCACTCTGACACAGATGTTTTACAATTGTTTTATTACTTTGGTACTATTTTCATAAGACAGTGGTAAATAGAAGAAACAATTTCAGTTATGACATTACAATACAAAACAATGTGTCATTTCAAAACCTTTTCCTTTTTTTTTTTTATAAAAATGCTAATCAGACATTCCTCTAAAAGTCACAGACAAATGGCAATTTGTCATCAATATCATATCAAAGGCATAGTGCATTACAGTATGCCAAGTGATACTATAAACGTAGGCCTGACCATAGTAGAAATCATCAAATATCTGTGCCATTTACTTGCCTGAAAAGATCCACCA